CAAAGGAAAACACAATTAGCAACAAAAACAAGACAAATAAGCAGAGACCAAGAGCAAATAAAAATCACCAGATTTCAACAAATAATTAAGGATCATTAACGCCTTCATGTCCAAAGTAAGAAGAGTCTCTGCACCAACCTCCAGTTCCGAATATATAACATACGTGACTTAATGCAGATCCCAACAGACTCACCAATATGTAACAGACGAACTCTCAAGGGGAAAATAAGATTAGATGCTATGCGGCGGTAGATGAATGTGAAGGCCTCGTTAACACCAATCTTGTGTTCTATATCCACCAGACGAGACGGTATAGAACTATGAATACATTTTGCTTGACGCTGACTTAATCAATCACACAGGATGATGTTCGCGAATCACACGATATAGACGACGACCAGTTGTACGGTAAATGTAACTGGCTCCATGGGAGAATTCAGAAATGGTAGATACACATAGACGACTCGAAGTCAAGTAGTTAATATTCAACAATCGAAAGCAGGATAAGGGCTTCTTTTTAGACATGGAATAATTCAGCAGAACCAAGTGCTATTTCTGCAGGATTCATTAGGCGTTGTGTTAATATCTCACTGATGTTTCCAGCGAGAAATTGAAGTTGTGAGAAAAAAGGCTTTTTCGGACATGTAGAAAATTTTGCCTGCATTGACTTTTGGCTCATATTCTTATCGATGAAGATATCTGCCTAACAATTCTCAATCACCAACCGCTTAGTAATATGAAGCTCTTCATTAAGACATTCATCAGAGTAGATTGCTCTCGCTCTGTACACCAAGAACTTCATTAGATTGTGTTTGTATTTCAAAGGCACTAGGCTGAAAAAATCAGTATACCAAAAGATTGACGTAGGTTTCGATGTACACTTCTTCTTCTTCTTCTCATTGTACCCTCCTCTTTTATAGTCATTAGGACGTATGGGAATGAAATACTAGAGTCTCTTTCTTCCTCAGTGGTAACAATTATTGCAGCATCGTTGAACATCGTTAAATCTGTCCAGGATGTCCGATGCCCTATCCACATTTTCCACAATCAAAATGCATCATCCATGTAGTGAGAGTAGAATTCTGGTTTATCAATCGCATCTCTCAAAGGCTCATTCTCTAGTTTTGCAAGGAAAATATCGGCTAGAATGATTCCTAGTGGTGACCCCACTGCCACTCCCATCAATTTGTCTGCAATGTTGCTTATTAAATAGAAAGCGAACATCCATTGGTCATTTTAAAAGAAGATTTTTCGTGAAAGACATAGGAATTCCGACATCAATGTTTCGTCTTATAACTCCTTTGCATATAAAGTCTACTGTTCCCATGAGTTGTGCTTCGGTGAATTCGGAAGACACGTCAAATGATATCGTGAATGTATTGTCAACATTTAAATCTTTTATCGTTTCAACAAATCCGGAGGTGTCTTTTACGCTTTGTCTCACCACGAATTCAGTATGCAGAGACTGTAATAGTTTGTTTGACTAACCATTTGGCTATGGAATAGCATGATGAGTTTGACATATCTAGTAGTGGTCGAAGGGGTAAATCATTTTGGTGCACTTTTGGAAAACCATATAATCCCCGTATGAACGTCCCAGTGGGTTTCAGTGATGTATACTAACTTTGTGAGATAAAGCCTTGTTGTTTCAGTTCTCTCAATGTTTCAACTAACTGTTTCCCCATCTTTTCAATCGGATCCAGAGAAGATGAGATTTTTTGGAATTTTAGATTGTCATTAAAAATTGTACTCATCTTCTCGAAATAGTCCGTTTTGTTCATGATATCCCCTCCTAAACCCTTATCCGATCATGTTATTACTATGTATCGTCTTTTCGGAGAATATCTAGGGCTTCCCTATATGGTTTGGTAAAAATATTATTCGCGTTGCGTTTACTATTCATATATAATTACGATAGCAGTAACGAGAGTTGACTTAAGTCTTTCAACCGCTTAAGTTGACAGGGGTATTACTCCTTCGGTTCAAGTATAGAGGCCTTCGAACTGAATGTATGCGTCCATTTTATTAATTCTAACATGACTACCAAAATCTTAGGGCCAAGAGGTAGAACTCGCGGAGCCACTTAATGAAGGACTACATCCGAAAAATTATACACATAACGAACTGGGGTGGGAGGGAATCTTGTTTCAGGTGCCCTTGTTCTCCGGACTCTGTAATAGTTTGGTATGTTTCTTTTCTTTCCTTTTAACCGCAATTTCATCCACATAATCGAAAAAAAGATTTCTTTATGTGTGCTGTAGATGATCCCCCAGCACACATAAAGAAATCTTTTTTTCGATTATGTGGATGAAATTGCGGTTAAAAGGAAAGAAAAGAAACATACCAAACTATTACAGAGTCCGGAGAACAAGGGCACCTGAAACAAGATTCCCTCCCACCCCAGTTCGTTATGTGTATAATTTTTCGGATGTAGTCCTTCATTAAGTGGCTCCGCGAGTTCTACCTCTTGGCCCTAAGATTTTGGTAGTCATGTTAGAATTAATAAAATGGACGCATACATTCAGTTCGAAGGCCTCTATACTTGAACCGAAGGAGTAATACCCCTGTCAACTTAAGCGGTTGAAAGACTTAAGTCAACTCTCGTTACTGCTATCGTAATTATATATGAATAGTAAACGCAACGCGAATAATATTTTTACCAAACCATATAGGGAAGCCCTAGATATTCTCCGAAAAGACGATACATAGTAATAACATGATCGGATAAGGGTTTAGGAGGGGATATCATGAACAAAACGGACTATTTCGAGAAGATGAGTACAATTTTTAATGACAATCTAAAATTCCAAAAAATCTCATCTTCTCTGGATCCGATTGAAAAGATGGGGAAACAGTTAGTTGAAACATTGAGAGAACTGAAACAACAAGGCTTTATCTCACAAAGTTAGTATACATCACTGAAACCCACTGGGACGTTCATACGGGGATTATATGGTTTTCCAAAAGTGCACCAAAATGATTTACCCCTTCGACCACTACTAGATATGTCAAACTCATCATGCTATTCCATAGCCAAATGGTTAGTCAAACAAACTATTACAGTCTCTGCATACTGAATTCGTGGTGAGACAAAGCGTAAAAGACACCTCCGGATTTGTTGAAACGATAAAAGATTTAAATGTTGACAATACATTCACGATATCATTTGACGTGTCTTCCGAATTCACCGAAGCACAACTCATGGGAACAGTAGACTTTATATGCAAAGGAGTTATAAGACGAAACATTGATGTCGGAATTCCTATGTCTTTCACGAAAAATCTTCTTTTAAAATGACCAATGGATGTTCGCTTTCTATTTAATAAGCAACATTGCAGACAAATTGATGGGAGTGGCAGTGGGGTCACCACTAGGAATCATTCTAGCCGATATTTTCTTGCAAAACTAGAGAATGAGCCTTTGAGAGATGCGATTGATAAACCAGAATTCTACTCTCACTACATGGATGATGCATTTTGATTGTGGAAAATGTGGATAGGGCATCGGACATCCTGGACAGATTTAACGATGTTCAACGATGCTGCAATAATTGTTACCACTGAGGAAGAAAGAGACTCTAGTATTTCATTCCCATACGTCCTAATGACTATAAAAGAGGAGGGTACAATGAGAAGAAGAAGAAGAAGTGTACATCGAAACCTACGTCAATCTTTTGGTATACTGATTTTTTCAGCCTAGTGCCTTTGAATACAAACACAATCTAATGAAGTTCTTGGTGTACAGAGCGAGAGCAATCTACTCTGATGAATGTCTTAATGAAGAGCTTCATATTACTAAGCGGTTGGTGATTGAGAATTGTTAGGCAGATATCTTCATCGATAAGAATATGAGCCAAAAGTCAATGCAGGCAAAATTTTCTACATGTCCGAAAAAGCCTTTTTTCTCACAACTTCAGTTTCTCGCTGGAAACATCAGTGAGATATTAACACAACGCCTAATGAATCCTGCAGAAATAGCACTTGGTTCTGCTGAATTATTCCATGTCTAAAAAGAAGCCCTTATCCTGCTTTCGATTGTTGAATATTAACTACTTGACTTCGAGTCGTCTATGTGTATCTACCATTTCTGAATTCTCCCATGGAGCCAGTTACATTTACCGTACAACTAGTCGTCGTCTATATCGTGTGATTCGCGAACATCATCCTGTGTGATTGATTAAGTCAGCGTCAAGCAAAATGTATTCATAGTTCTATACCGTCTCGTCTGGTGGATATAGAACACAAGATTGGTGTTAACGAGGCCTTCACATTCATCTACTGCCGCATAGCATCTAATCTTATTTTCCCCTTGAGAGTTCGTCTGTTACATATTGGTGAGTCTGTTGGGATCTACATTAAGTCATGTATGTTATGTAGCTGCATGAAGATTTTTTTCCTGCGCTCTTGTTCGCCTTTCCATTATTGTGCTATTAATCCTTAATTATTTGTTAAAATCTGGTGAATTTTTTTCTGTCTTGTATTCAGCATAATTCCCTTGTTCTCTTAGAAATTTTGTGGTTTTCTCCAGCTGTTTTTTCCTTTGGTGTTAAGAAGTCAGTAGTGTATAAAAGACACGAATATTCGTAATTTTGATTAGTCTGAATTTTTAATTTTATATTATTGCAGTTATGTTTTTAGAGTATCGGCGTTTCACTTATTGATTTTCCTACACACCAATGATATATTCAGTGCTTTGTTGGGTGGCATAACTCTGAATTGGTCTCTACTTGTGTACTTCGCTGGTAAGCTAATTTGTATGACATCATCTGGTGTAAATAAATTCAAATCTTCTAGGTGGTCGTTAAGCCTAGCTAGTAATTACTGCTTCAGAGGACAGGATATAATATCTCAGATATGTGCTCCTGTGTGCCTATATCCTATTAGGAACCGGAGGGAATAATGATAAAAATGACAATAGTAATAATTTTAATAATAGTAATAATAATGGCATAGTTTTAGGTAATTAATTATATGACATAAATATTCCCAAATATCACTTACCAACTGTACTTCGTCTAAATCCACTGGCATTCTACGACACGATATTCAAAGGAGCACACATTTTCAGTAACAAGAACACAATAACAATCAGCAGATTGAAGGAATGGGATGAAAACCAAAGATTAAAAAAATTACTTGAAATGATTTCCACAATTAAATCTTTGACTAATTTTTTTTAATTACAAAAAGAAAAACTTTATACACAGGATTGAGATCGGAGACCTTTTCTAGTGGAATACACCTCTAAGACAAAGACGGATGTTTTATTTAAACAGGTCTTTGGAAATATTACTTAGTAGTCAAAAATGGGTGTTGTTCACGGAGACAAGAAGCCGTGGGTAAAATGTGACTACAAATGATGGTGCTGATGACGACATAAAGCTTGTAAATACTGATATCCTGGAGAAACATCTTCTAAGTGCTGAGAAGTGAGCAGCTCAGTCATGTCACCGCGTATGAACACTATAAACTACCTACTCCAAGGTGATATTATTGAATCAGTCGTCTGCAGTGTTATCTAAATAAGGTTTAGTTATTTTGGAACGCAAAGTATTTGAAGTACATTATAAATTTTGGAGGATGGATGTGTTGAATGCAACCAAGGTAATGGTAACACACACACACAACACTCATTTGTGTCTCGTTCGTTTTAGTCATCTGATATTAATATCGTCACCTGCTTGATCATGTCCATCATTCAGTGTGCTCAAATTTTCCAGTGACAGACTTCGGATTCTAAGCCACTGAACAATGATGTAGAACAACTTCATTACTAGTTCGGCTAGTATATGTTATAGTATGCTACCGTCGCACAATACCCAACTGTCGAAAATATTAGCAGAACAAAGTTATTTGACCGTCTCTGAACTTACATAAGTGCTTATTTATAATCACAGCTAGATATCTAAATGACTGGATTTGTCTGTAACAGTTATTTGAATGGTTTTAAAAGAGTAGTTCAATGAAAATGTCAACAATTGTTATAATCTGTCTGTCTGCCTAATTCTGCATAGGTACGAGGCTTTCTGACTCAATTGACGTGAACAGGGATTTTGTGTCGCTACTGACTGTAAACGGTTCATTTTAGAATTTTGTAAATACAGCTAGAAATGAAGTCTAATGACACACACACACACACTCAAATATCTTTTACCGATCTGTCAACCAAATTTACTCTGCCATGGGTGAGGATACTATCCATGATACTAACCCTCAAGAGGTTGAATTAAGTGGAGAGGGGTTCGAATCCGATACTATTTGGTTGAAGATAAGAGAGTAAACTAGGTAGCAAATGTGATTTAGTGGATTGCAGCACTCACTTAAGCGACTGTTGTCTACTAATATTCATGAATTACAATAAATCAGTTGTTTTGTCAAGAACAACAACAATAACTTGAATTGAATTTTAGATCTTCCCGTCGATTGATTGGACCGAAGTGTTCGGTCTCAGGTTGACATGTTGGCCACTTGTGCAGATGCTTCGATGATGTCTGGGCATTTAACTAGTGTTTGGTTGGTGGATGGTGAGCAGCAGTGGAATTCAGAATGCACGTTTCGTCCCATTTGGGACTCGTCAACCTGAAACCGAGAACTTTGGTCCAGTCAATCGACAGGAAAATCTGAAATACACAAGAGGTGGCTCTCGTAGCCCAAGTGGTCTAGTGGATAACGCTTTAGCGTTTGGAACTATGGGCACAGGGTTCGAGCCTCGGTAGGAACATCATCACTGACTCACAGGGGAATGCAGGTACCTCCAACTGACGAGTCTTAAATAGGACAAGATGCGCATCCTGGATTCTACTTCTAGTCACTATCCACCAATTAAATAACAACAATAACTTCAAAAATTCTAACACTTACGCGGTGATTTGTACGGCAGGTACATTCTCAACAATAGCTTCCGTAACAGTCTCCACATTGTCTGAAACTTGTGGTCTTAAAAAAAGAAACAAAAAGCAAGCACACAAGCAGGTAATATGGGTAGAGGATACAGTGAGTCATACCCTCTTGTGTTTGATATACGAAATAAGATAAAATGGAGCTTTAGACTAGGTTTATGCAAAATAGTATATCACATTTTAATCTCTCTGATGTTTAACCATGTATTATGATAGTTAAAAGAAGACAGATTTATCAGTAAGCCTAAGCAGCATGCAACACTGAATTCAATCTGCTACGGAGGGTAGGCAATCTTGAAGTGGTAAGGAATACAAAACTATGAGTTACGTCATCTTTCATTTATGAAGAAAACAAATCAGTTATCTAAACCAGAAAATTGTATTAATTAAGCACTAAGTAGTACTCATCAATAAACAAATCTTAATAGTTGGATGCCAGATGGCTGAAGATGATTAGCAAGAAGTCCCGTCTGACCATAGTCTGTTTCTTTATCATCGGCACTCGTCAGTAGTACCTACTTTCAGTCTTAAAGGAAATGATACCCCCTTGAAGATTCAATCCCACGACGTTACCACTAAGCTGTACGGATTAATGATGCAGGACGTCGTGACTGATCACTGGAGAGTAACTAAAACAATCATGTGTCCAGTTCTCGGTGTTGGCGCTGATTAATTCATATCAACAAGAAACCTAGATGCAGAGTTTCCTGCAAAGAGTCATCTAGCTTGTTGATTATAATTGCAAACATTAATGAGAGAATCCAACCAGCACCAACACCAAGGATTAGACAGATGACACATCAGTTACTCTTTGATATTAAGTGAGATGTAACATTAAAAGTGATTTATATTTAATCTTTACAAATATTGTAGTATACCAAAGAATAATGTATATAGCTTTCACACTTGTCAGAGAAAACGTTATGAGGCTTACAAGTGATAGACTCCAAAAAACATACACATATCACTTTATGGGTAAAATTCAAGGTAGACTCACATGTTCACTAACTCTGCAGCCTCAGGCAGCGTTTGACACTCTGTGGCAACCGGCAATTGAACTTCTTCGATGGTTTCTAGATTCGCTGGAGTTGTGAACCTTGAAAAAAAGTGATTTGTAAATACGTAGTCTAATTCTAAATATGTGCGTTGGTGGAACAGCGGTTAGGACGCTTGCCGATCATGCACATGGTCAGGGGTTTGGTCCCCGGCCACTGACGCACTCCGTTACCTCGCTAAGTCAGTAATAAAGCTGGTAAAGAGGAAAGGTTAGACATGAGGCTGGCAACCCAATCCTGCAAAAATAAACACCATTGCTACCGAAACTTACAGCCTCTGGCCTGAAGGCCTATGTTCCACTGAAAACGTGAAGGGATTAAATAAAATGCTAAATATACACAATCACATTTGCAAACATGAATCTAACATTCAGATTTCCTCAAACGACAAACTTTAAAATAGAAATGATAAAGTTATCATCTTGCGCGCACACACATACACACAATAGAGAAACACTTAATATGACCCTACTCGTATGATTTGTGAAACCAATGCCTTATAATCTTAATCTTGTTTTATGTTAAATACCCCTTTCGTTACCTTGGTCATAGTAGTGTTCTTTCTAATTGACTTGATTCCGTTTCACTTTATATTTCTGCCTCCATATTATCTTCATGATTGTTGCCATTCCAATTTCTCATATCACCTAACCTTCTTTAAACCTCTCATAATGCCAGTTTACTTGTTTAATGACTTATTTATATTAATATTGTGACTCAACCTCCCTAAAGCTACCTGTCCAAAATATCACGTTAAAAAGAATATATACATCTTCATGTTGTCTGAAGTGAAATTTATTTATTTCTCTGGGTTCTGAGTATAACACAGGGCCTCAAGTCTGAGCTTCAAGGTCTCAGTAACTATACAGTTCCCTTCATGGGGTGGGGTTGCTAGTCTCACGTTAAACTTTCCCTGTTAAATGAGCTTATTACCGGCTAGGTGAGGCTCAGGTGCCTGTTAGTTGCCGGGTACTAGCCGCGAGTACACCGGCACACCAATCCCACACAATGATAATGAATTAAAAAGTTTTGGTCAAGAACAATAACACCTACTGGAACACTACCATTAGAAACCAATGAGAGAGCTAGACAGAAGAAGTGTCATCCTGCTTTAAGAGACGCCTCATTGGTTCGAGACCACAAACTTACAAGGTTTGTCTAACATAGGAGACCGTGAGGTTACAGTGAGGCAATCATGTGTCTTTTTGGTTCACTAGATTTAAATCCGATAATAGTGTAATTAAGAATTTTTTAATTGTCGTTCATTTATCAAACAGAAATCATCAAATGGTTTGACTCTATACCAGTCAGTAGTTCAAATTACAAACTATAGACAAAAAATCCATCTGAAAGATTGTCACTATATATGCAGTATGTAATCAATAAGCGTGTCGAGGACTAGGATGAAACAGCTGCTCATTGCTCCTTATTTTCTTTGAATTCATATCCTTTATTGATGTGATCAACCTGTGGGACTAGACAAATTCTCACTAGTTTAACAACTAAGCCCAGATTGAATTACTTGTCAACAAGGTGAGTGGAAGAATACGTCCATGATTTCAGTACAACCAATCATTAAATACTAACCTTTCAGACTCATCCAAATGACGTGACCGCTTCACTGTAGAACATTCAGCCAAACTAGTTGCACTTTCTGATAATAAGTGTTTTCTTGTAGAACTAGTCACAGGAAAATCATCTCCGTAGATTGAACTTTGACTGTGTTTAAACAATTCAGTGAGATGTGCAAAGTCCAGTGGTATTAAATCATCATCAGGAGGTTTATATGGTATCTATTAGTAAAATACAATGTGTTGAAAACCGTTTTAATTAGTATTCGTATACTACTCGCATGATTGACAAACATCCATGCATTCATGCATGGCAAATAATCACCCTGTCTAGTTTCACGTGACTCGGGGGAATAAAATTAGGTTAAACAGATGAATATACGGACGTCTGATAAACCTTGTGTTCAAGATATATTAATGGGCAATAATTGAGGTGATCACAATAATAACAATAATAACAAAGATAAATTCGTTCAGGTGACGCAATTCTGTTGAAGAAGTAGCAACAAATGAACTGCTAGCATAGAAAATTTGACAAAAATAATAGCTAAAATATTCTTTGCCACAAAAGTGTGTTTAAAATTCGCCACTCGCTGTATAATTCCCAAGCAGGTGAAGGATAAGCCACCAAATCTGGTCACTTCAATGTTCATATGAAAACATTTACATAAGTAGAACGACTCCGTAATCCCACCGTCCCCTGTTCGAGAGTTGTCCAACGTGGTTAGGCAGAGGTGTCGCAAAGTTCCATACTGGCACACCCAGTGGATACGGAGCACAAGAGTGACAAAATATTCAGCTTTAACAAATCTATGCAGGGTGCTACCGTAACTCTAGGTTGGTACATCTTTCATCGCTAAGCGTAGCCGAGGCAATTGCCAAAAATTTTTCCACTCAATATCTATGTTCAGAAAATATTTGTTTAGTCTCTCTCACTCTTCCTTGGCCTTCGTCCCAAACCTAAAATAGTTGTCTATCGCGATGACACTGAATAACTGTAAACATTACTTTATCATTTTATTTACCTTTATTTTGTAATGCTAACTGAATTATCAAGATCATGCTGTGCTGAAGTGGTGCATTTTAACCCCAGTTTTGTAGCTTACTATTATCATAATACCTCATCGCTTTGTGAAAAGTTATTTTCCCCTCTATCTTCAATAGTATATATATATATATATATATATATATATATATATATATATTCTACCTGTACATTCCCCATTACGTAGATTATATAAACACGAATGAATTTATTCTTGTTACTATTATTATTATTACTACAACATCGATTATTACCAATTAATTCACATCCCTGAACTCCGATTCTACACTTCACCAACCACATTAATTCAAATGCCTATGACTAATATTTCATTATGTAAACATAAAAGCTGAGGAGAAAATTCGTATTTGCTTAAATCGTGTTCTTTAATTACCGTTACAGGAATATTTAGATTATTCACGTATGAGACCAAATTGTACATCCTCACTGGAGGCGTCTCAGGGTTCAGGCTTTCGTATATATATATATATATATATATATATATATATATATATATATATATATATATATATAAGTTAACACTAACGGTAAGACGTACTTGGGATAGTTGCTTAGTTAACAATTATCAATACGATTGAACTGGCTCTAAAAACGTATGCAAAGGTTATGGTGTCTGGAGTGCCTAGATCCACTCTCCGAAAATCAAAACCAAAAATGATAAGCAACGTTTCTATACTTGTAAAATAGGCAACTTACAGTATCTAGAGGATCCTCAACCAAAGTAATATCTTCTCTTCGTGCCTGATAAAGTGTTTGTGTATCCATAAACTCTAAACTAGCCTCGATTTCAGGCCAGACTAAGTCAGGCAGCTGCAAATTTCCGAATTCATTGATGTCGTCGTTATTATTCCACATAGGTAATTCAGGAGCCTCCGCCACCGAGGTACGTCTTCGCCTAGTGTGCGACTCGCGTCTGTCACTTTAAGAAAAAAACTTTAATGTGAGTAAAGACTAAGAGAAAAATGATACAAACAAAGAAACACATATGAAACGGACAGAAAGGAACATCGACATGTAAGTTTTACCACGTCGGCAGATCAATGGAGCGAACTGTTAATACGCAAGCCCGTTGACTCAGTTCCTGAAGATCGCCTAATATGTGAGAGAAATTTAAGAGATAACTTAATATCGTGGAGATACCAAATTAAGTGAAAAACTGTGAATTATACAGTCAACTTACGCAGCATAAAGACAACTTTTTCTCTATAGATGACACATAACCCGAACGTCAACTGCGATGCTAAGTACAACGACAGTCTTATTTTCGTCTTCCCCAAAATATGGCTTGTTATCTCGTTGCTAAGAGCAGTAAGAAATACGTTCACAATACCATGCAGTAACAATATTAACTGAATTTAGCTCTCTTCTCGTAAGCTGCTTTCTTACTCTGGTCGCCGCCAACCTAAAAGTTAGTGTTAAAAATTCGAATGGACTCAACCATATTACGCCAAATCTTCCACGATGAGCAGACAATAGATCGATACTATAAAACATAATACTCGACGATCCAAAGCGTACAAATAGCTACAAGCTTTGAAAAATCGCTTTGTGTGATTGATTACTAATTGATTCGAAGAAACAAAACATCCAATATCCAATGTGTCCAATATCCAATATCGTTTTTTTACGAGCTAGTATAAACCAATTTGATTTCTTTGTGATCGCTTCTTGATTGTAAGGTAAAGGTTCCTGATCTTCGGTAAACTTCTGCGTAGGTCGTCCCGCCGCTCGACTGTCGTAGCTTTGGTTGACTCCAAAGGGAGTAGTGCTGGGATTAATTAAATGTGGTTTGTAGTATGGGGTGTGTTAAGACTGTTACTACTGTGAAAGGAGTTGATCCTTTCGCCAGCTAGTCCTCCGGTATCGTCGACAAGAGAAAAGAGATAGTAATAATAATAACGCTAATGATAGATATAATTAGTGAAGTTATTCAGACTAAGAGACAGACACGGAAATAGGAAAGCGTAACAACACTCAGCCGATCAAGTTTGAAGAATAATATGAATAACATATATGTGTATATACCGGTAATAATGATAATAATAAGTGTAGTTAAAGTTGTCAGGAGAGTAAGACGGGATAGAATGTAAAGAAGTAAGACGACGAGTTTAACTGTCTACCCCTGAATGGTGTATATGATTTTAAGGAGATAGGCCATTTGGATGCAGTCCTTGTGTCGCCTGGTTGTTCAGCCTTCGCTTAAAGGCGTCCAAAGACGGTGCCATAGCTACATCTGCCGGTAAGGAATTCCAGGGACGGCAGACCCGCAGTGAAAAGAAATGGGAGCATACCCGGGTCCTTGCCCTCCGGTGAGCTATCTTTCTGGGATTTCCACGTGGGAGCCTATACCTACTCAATGGCAGAACACCTTTGTTTGGGTGATTCTGGTCATTTGTTATTTTTTAGGCAGTAATCAAATCCCCACCTAAGCCGACGGTAGCTAAATGTGAACAGGCCTAATTTCTTCAGCCTTTCATCATATGGTTTGTTTCGGTGGCCAACCACTCCTTTTGTTGCCCGTCGTTGGACTCTTTCCAAGAGGTTGGCGTCGGGCATTGGGGTTGCAATAATATTATGCACCTCAAGGTGTGGCCTGACGTATGTTTTGTACAACCTAACTGTCTATGCGTAAAGTGTATGACCGCATATGCCCTCGCTACATCCCCTGTGTAATTTACGCTTGTGTCCATTGTTTCCGTTAGAACTAGACTTAAGTCGCGTTCCGACGTTATGCAGGACAAGCTTTCATTGCACAGGGTGTAACTTGCATTCTGCAGTCTCCAGGTGCGCAACTTCACTACTTTGTACTTTTTCAGGTTGAAAGTCATGCCACTGGCCACCGCCCAGTTTTCAAGAAGGTTTAGATCTTCCTGCAGCTTATCTGAGTCCTCCGGACACTTTATCTCCCTTCATAACTTTACGTCATCAGCCTATAGGAGAGTCGGGCAGCTCAGACGGCGTGGTAGATCATTGATGAAAATCAAAAACATCAGTGGTCATAGGAAGGAACCCTGCGACACTCCTGATGACGAGCTGTGTCAAGATGATCAACCTCGGCTAACCTTAGTGCAAAATCGCCTGTCAGCTAGGTAGTCCTTTAACCATGACAGAAGTGGCTCACCTATACCTGCCTGGCTTATTTTGTGTAGGAGAAGGTCATGGTGAACAGTGTCAAATGCCTTCTCAAAGTCTAGGAAGACCACATGGACTGGAACATTCATATCCCAGCATGATGTCCAGTCGTCTCAAGCTGACAGTAGATTAGTAACGCAGGATCTACCTTTCCTGAAACCGTGTTGGGCTTCATGAAGTATACCAGGCCTATCGAAATATTCCCTGATGCGATCGTCAAAAATACTTTCCATCACTTTTGATACCACTGGGAGTAGAGCTACCGGTCTATAACTAGTGGCGTTTTGCTAGTCCCCACCCTTGAAGATTGGAGAAAGGATGGCTCTTTTCCGCTCCCTTGGCAGTTTCCCCGAATCATTTGAATGTAAGAACAAGTCACACAGGGGCCTACAGAGAGCTTCGGCACACTGTTTTAGAACAGATGGCCTGATGTCGTCACAACCTGAGGACTTCCCTGTTGTGAGTCGCTGTAGCTTCCTTAGCACTATTGTGGGGTTTATTTGGGGAGTAGCCACTAGGTTTTCCTCCTGTGAAATAGTGGTGCCACCATTTTGGTCCGTAACCATAATATCCACATTTCTGTTTTGGGCTGTGTTGTGACCTAAGGGGCGGTATCCAAGATTGCTATATGAGTAATCTTCTGTACCGCTTCCCAGTGTTCATCCACAGATAGGTCATCCCATGCTAAGGGCCAGTCTTCGTCGGACAAGAGCCTCCGCATTTCAGCATAGTCAGCCTTGCTGTAACACAGACATGGTCGCGTAACATCCCACTGCAAGCGCTCACGGAGAACAAGATCGAAACATATGACTGCATGGTCACTATTTCCTAGAGGAGTCATGATCTGGACCTTTTCGACGAGTAGTTGGTCACTAGTTAGAATATAGTCTAGTTTTGATGACTTTCCACTTGGGCCCCACCTAGCGTCGTCTCCAACATTCTCAGTCAGCCCCGTGTTTGCAGTAGGATTCGGCCAAATTTTCCCTTAGCACAACCCAAGCCAAGGTTCAGTGATGGGGCATTGAAATCTCCAGCTATGGTGATTTGGTCGTAGGAGAAATCTCGTATCACTGTGACAGTGCTGAGCAAAAGCTGATTGTGCTCTGCTGCACAGGTGGGAGATCAGTAGATGCCACCCAGTAAGTGCTCGGTGTGGCCTACGGTGAAATAACACCATATGGAGTCTGGGAGTTTAATAAGTGGTGGGTCCGTTGCGCGCATACATTTAAGTTGCCTATCAAATTATATAGCAACTCCCCGTCCTTTCTTATTATCCCTGTCTCTCCTGACCAGAACCGTGTCGCCTATACTGATTTCATTGTCGGCGATAGTGGGGTTTAGGCACGTTTCAGTGAGAATGATCATTTTCAGTTGTAGGTGCGCTTGGAGATTTCAGGGTTCACCTACTTTTCCTCTCGGCCCCCTCACATTGCAATATAGGCAGCTGACAGTGAGTCTAACAACCTCAGAGTGTTGTGGGGTAGTTGACGTGAAACTGTCTGCTGGTGGGGGGCTTGATGTTGGTACTAGTTGGCTAATTCCGATAGAACCGGCCCGTTACAGTTTTTCAATGGATTTAGGCAGGACACTTGGGGGACACAGACCGTTATTCTCAGAACCCCATCGCTCTAGTGTCACTGAAGCTTGGGGACATATTAAAGCCTCAGTTTGCTGCCTCCTTATAGTTCGGGGTCTGCCTTCGCAGCATCGAATGTATCCTCCCATTTTTCCCTTGGTCTCATACCACCGTTAAAGTGCTGTGAACAACTGCTCCGGGGAGTTGAATGTGACACCTGGCAGTTTCGGGAGCCAATCAGTGTTAGAGGAGCGGGACGAGGTAGTCGGAAAATGGAGATGGCTCCAGAAGCGCAAGGACCATCTGAGATGACACCCATCTTCATTGCTGTACGTCGTGCATGTGTTTTTCACAAGCAGTGCAGGTTTCCAGCTCCGGAACACCGTGTACCACCATAGAGGTGGAAGGCATCAGTTCCGGTGACTCCCGCGCCATATGTCTGATAGCCCATGGTCTATCTTGTCTCACCCTTATGTTAGAACTTCTGTCAAGGGCTAGTACCTGAGCCATTAACAGTACTTTTCGGCCTCTTCGGCAGAGTCCAGTGTAACCCGTAATGGGGGTGGCTTACCATGAGGCCTGTGGACACCTCTGTACAGCCTGCACGATTTTGCTGAACCAATGTTCAGACCTAATTTATTGCACAGGTTGGACCACTGTTCCTGATCAAACAGGGCCCGTTGTTCGAGCAAGCTATCCTTGCTCACAGGTACGTTAAAGAGGATGAGAGAGTTGGACCGACTAACCTTAGACTTAGGTTTGGCCTTCGGCTTCTTGCACCCCTTTGCATCATCAGCAACATTAGGCTTCATCGGTATCTGGCCAGCCGTTTTGTGTTGCCAAGCTTGCTAGTGGATACAAGTGGTGTTTTGTAATTCTGTCTTACCCTGATGTGGGTGCAACCTTGTGAATCTTCACCTTGTGAAAATTGGCATTTCCAGTCAGTAGGACTGGTGTGTTCTTCTTATTGTCTTTGCCAAGTTTTGGCAGTGTGATGCTAGCAGGTGGGGAGCTGCACTAGACTGTGTTCGGACATAAGAGCGGTGTGTTGTTTCTGATATCCGCAGTTACGCTTTGTGGGACCATTCCAGGGCCATAAAGTGGACAAATGTACCAAAACCACGGGCATGGGTTATTTCTCATGAACTCGTAGTATGCCTTCGGTACCTCTTTGTCACAACGGCAGCGCACCCATCGTTTGCAAAAATTGCGTTTAAACGCTGAGTCAGTTTTAGAAACTATGATACTGCACGCCTGACATTCATGACTATAATGATATGAATATTGTTAGTAAAATCCAAGAAGACCTAAATAGTCTATGTAATTGGAGTGAAAAGTGGCAGTTAACGTTCAATCCAGCTAAATCTGGGATAACATACTTCGGACGTTGGAAACCTAGCATGTGTCTATACATGTACGGTGACCTTGTCTCAAACACGAACACAGTCACAGATCTCGGGATAACATACTCAGATCTTACCTTTACTGAACATGCAAATAAGGTGGTATCTGATTGTAAACGTCTAACCGGCTTTGTGCTACGCAACTTTTACACTCCAGAAGCCAGATTAGCCATATATAAGATATGCATTCGCCCCAAACTTGAATACTGTGCCCACTTATACAGTAGCTTCAAATCAGCAGACAGAAAAAAAGTTGAAAGTGTCCAAAGATTCCTTACGAAACGCATATTAGGCTATGGTCAGCAAATAGAATACCTTGACAGATGTATTCGACTGGACTTAGAGCCCTTATGGTTAAGGAGAGTGAAGTGCAATTTATTTCTCTTATTCAAAGTTATAAGAAAGCACTGTAACAGTAACTCGTCCATAACC